AGATAGCCCTCGTGTACCTGTGCGCGAAATTCAAAACAACAAACAAACAGTATATTTTTGATTAATTACATTTGTTTGGTGATAAATAAATGCATGATCTTAAAAACTTAGATTGTGTTAAACAAAGGTGTTAATTTGGAGTTTATTTTAATGAACATTTACCTTTTGTGAATAAGAAGAGTCAAGTTTGCTATCACTCAATGTCACACGCTTATTTTGTGATCTTAAGTAAAACCCTCTTTCCTTGTAGCATCATGTGTCAAATCCTTACAAGAATCCAGTGTAATGATCTCCTGTCTCCCATAAACTTGTTGATAAATGAAAGGAGAAAACATTGTACAGCTCGTCAGAGTTATCACAGTATCTATCGCAGCTTGTTGTTTCTATGTTATGTTGCATTGGGCAGAGAAAACATTGACCACAGTAAGTAGTATGTGATTTTATGCACATAGTATTTAACATTTCTAAAAAGAAATATGGGTAAATCACAACTGACTAAATCCAATTAAATGAAAGTTTATATTATTAATAATGTGGATGTTAAACACTTTTCACAGAATTATAATGTTGCATTTTGTTATAGTTTGCCATTTTTCACACATATATAGTGTCATACAAATCTGATACTAGTATTGATTTCTGAAAAAAAAAGTTTTAAAGGTTGATTAATTGATTTTGTTGTATTAGATTTTGTTAAGATTGTTTAAACTGAAATGAACTTAAAACAGTGGGCAGAAACGTTCATCTAGCCTTAGTGTCTTTTCAGTAAAACAGCAAGTAAACTAGTTAAAGTTAGAACTACAGTTCAAACTTGACAGACTAATATTATAAAAGCTATATCAGATTTTAGTTCAAAATAATCATTTCATTAAAAAGGAGTTTTGTTTATAATTCATGATTTCTTAATGATGTTCTGTTATCTTTAAACATAGATTGATATGATTTCTTAATGCACTATCTAATGATGTTCTGTTATCTTTAAACATAGATTGATATGATTTCTTAATGCACTATTTAATGATGTTCTGTTATCTTTAAACATAGATTGATATGATTTCTTAATGCACTATTTAATGATGTTCTGTTATCTTTAAACATAGATTGATTATTAAACTTTTTTCGTTTCTTTTCTATTCAAAGCTGCTTTTGACCGAGAGTATTTACGTGCATATGAACAATTGTCTTCCATGCAACGAGCCCTTCTAGTGAAAGCAGACAAGCCACCGTCCAGCCGAGCATTCTTCTGTCAGAGGTATTTTATGGAGCTAGAACTAAAGGCAGTGTAAGAAGGCTACATCTATATTAATAATGACCTCATGAAATGTAGTTGCATATGTGTGTATATAAGGATATACTGACTTAAGATTGCTACTCAACCAAAACTTAAGTATTAACAAAAAAAGTCTATTACTGGACTTTGTATTCTAAACAGCTAATTTTCTATTTAAACTGATAGCTCTTTTAGTTTTGGAAATTTCTGTTATAACTAACTTTGGGTTGTATAATGTGTTCAATTCGTTTTTTTTTCACATTTAAAATGTGAAGGGTTTCTCACTTTTATAATTTCAGCTTAAATTCTATTAATGTACTAACAATGATTTAATGTCTTGCTCTACTAATTTTAGTTTTTAGATTAAAAGACATATTTGTAACTAAATATAAGTCACTTCTATTTTAAGTAATGTTATTTTGCTGTTATGTTAAAAGTGCATAGACGTTTTCTCATGCTGTTCTTTACTGGTTAAAAGAATTCATCAGGAAAGTATACATAACTTTCCAGTATTCTCGTAGTGTAATGTAATTTTAAAAACTACAGTCAGACGTGTACATTTTTAGATATAAGTATTACTTCACAGATTTGAAGGTAGCAGATTTCACAGTTTTGACAAAAATGATTAACCAAGTAAACATTGAGATGTATTACATTTTTCAATTCTAGATGAAGCTATAATTGTATGTAGTTTCTTCTGGGATGATTTGATTGAAATAGTTAAAGATTTTATGCTTGGTTCACCTTCTCATTCGTCATAGTAAATAAAATTGTATTAGCATGCTCTAATCATTACTTTACCAATCACTTCCCAATAACCTGTTTGTTCATTTTATAATATCTTCATTAGCTGTACATCAGAATTTTAGACAAATACAATATTATTGTAAATAGATAGAGAGATATATATGGATACATAAGGTTTTATTGGTGTTGGGAATTATAAGCTGTTAAATGAAATATGTATAAAAGGTTGATCATTTGGGATATGTTTTATTGAACTACAACAAGTTCATGAACTTCATCGTGGAGGTATAGTTTTTTCAAAACTTTCATTTTTTTGGGTAGAATAGAATGTGTAAATATATTTAATTTTTTGTGTTTTTTGTCTCTGCTATTGACTAACATATCATGTTTTTGTTGTCTAAAATATGTATGGTATCTTTTTCATGAAGAATCTTGTTTGGTTAATAAATGAATTAATTTTTTTTTCCAATTGGTGTTCTTACTGAAAATAGTGTACATCACTTTCACCTCATAAATCCGTTTAGGATATGAATTAAATATGTTACTCTTCGTCCAGTTTCAGTTTACAGTGGCAGTTGTGAATTAACCACATTTTGTGTAGGTAATCTGTATAAGTTTTAAGCTTCTACTGCCATGAGCATAGTGACAAACTTAAGTTCTGCCTATTTGCAATTTTAATTTCTTAAAAAACACCATGCTTATAAGTCCTGTTTTAATAAATATTAGAGCTCCTCGTGGTTATGTTTTCTGAAATCAAATAGTATGGAAAGTTTAAAAAAAAAATGTGTTTCATAAAAGTTGTTAAAAATAATGTTAAGACAGGACCAAGTTTTCAAACAATAATTATCCAAACACTTATTAATTATAAATCATTTAAGAAATTGTCTATATATTTCAAGTCAGAACCTTTGTCTCACACTCTTTTTGAATAATATTTCAACATTAGAAAATGAGACACACACACACAAATGTAGCTTTAAAATCTGTGCATGATGTAAACATTCGAAAGTTCCTTGTCTACATGTTTCATAACTTTGTATTTGGGGTGACACATACCTATTACTGCAAATTGTTAATAGAAGAAGTAATGATTAGCCTCAGCATCAATAGAAATGTTGTGGATATGTTATAAGAGTGACAGAGAAATCCCATTAGTCAGTTAAATTAGCCCCAGAGTTGGCAGTGGGTGATGCCTTCTCTCTAATCTATCAGTTCAAAATTGGGGTGGCTAGCACAGATAACTCTTGTATGAATATTTGAAACTAATAAAGAAATCTTTTTATTTATTTTGAAATGCTATTTTAACACTTTCCCTCCTAATGATCATAAATTTGATTTATTTTGTTTTGAGACTAACATTCTTTATTCTACAAGGAATCGACTTTATTCTTTGCCAACTATCCATATTTCAAGAGGGAAAGGGTAACTCAAAACTAATGCATTAGAGCAGTGATTAATACCTTACCATGTTGTTCTAAAAAGAATTAAATCTGAATTCTTCTCAGAAAACTTTATTACCATTATATTATGGTTTTACAGTTGTAATATTTTTATCATTTCATTATATTTCAAAAGGAATATATAGAGCAAAACTATAATGTTTATTACTTATGCTGACAAATTTGTTTGTAATGGATACTTGTGGTGTAATATTTAAAAAATTATAGTATTTACAGTACAAAAACGCCCGGTGGTTAGGGCGCTCGACTTGCAATCTGAGGGTCGCGGGTTCGAATCCCCATCCCACCAAACATGCTCGCCCTTTCAGCCATGGGGGTATTATAATGTGACGGTCAATCCAACTGTTTGTTAGTAAAAGAGTAGCCCAAGAGTTGGTGGTGGGTGGTGATGACTAGCTGCCTTCCCTCTAGTCTTACACTGCTAAATTAGGGATGGCTAGTGCAGATAGCCCTCGTGTAGCTTTGCACAAAATTCAAAACAAACAAAACAGTACAAAAGGAATATGTAGCTTTATACTAAAAATTAACCTTAAGGCAATTCAGTTTAGATTAGTATTAAAGGTAGTAGGTTAGAACAATTTTACCTCTGAAAAAGCTGTTTTTTAGACATATTCTATGTCTGGAGTAACTTGATGATGCGATGCATCTCTTAAGATGATTGATGGGAGTGAAGTCCAGAGGCCACTTTGTTTGGTCAATCCCTATTTTTTCTTCAAAGAATGGATTGACCAGTTTAACATGGATGGGAATGGTGGTATCATCCATTATTCTGGAGTTAAGACCAATTACACCAACATATGGTAGTGTAAGTTTTATTCTTCACACCTAACTTCCACTACCATCATATGCTTTATGCTTCTCTGTGAATATTTACTTCAATTTTATTCCAGGTTCTCCCCAAATGATTATATGCCTGCCATCTGGTTGCAGGATAAAATGTGACTTGTATGTTAAAAGAACATTGCTCCAATTGTTATTGGTCCACAGGGCATGTTCTTGGCATTGTTGCAGGGGGGCTGTTTTATACCTTGCAGTGAGAGAAATTCATCTCCGTGGATGTCTGACTAAAACTCAACCTTCTGTAATTGTTTCTAACCATCTTTTTGTTAACACAGTTGCTAACTGCAGTTGTGAACATCTTATTCAGACTCAGAGAAGGTATCTTAAAGTGACCCAAAATTGACAGTTAATAGTTGTCTGCTTGATTTGTAGATAATGGACCATGTTATCGAAGTGTACAATCAACTATACCTTGATTTGTAGATAATGGACCATGTTATTGAAGTGTACAAGCAATTATACCTTGATTTGTAGATAATGGACCATGTTATTCGAAGTGTACAAGCAACTATACCTTGATTTGTGGATAATGGACCATGTTATCGAAGTGTACAATCAACTATACCATGATTTGTAGATAATGGACCATGTTATCGAAGTGTACAAGCAACTATACCTTGATTTGTAGATAATGGACCATGTTATTCGAAGTGTACAATCAACTATACTTTGATTTGTAGATAATGGACCATGTTATCGAAGTGTACAATCAACTATACCATGATTTGTAGATAATGGACCATGTTATCGAAGTGTACAAGCAACTATACCTTGATTTGTAGATAATGGACCATGTTATTCGAAGTGTACAAGCAACTATACCTTGATTTGTAGATAATGGACCATGTTATCGAAGTGTACAAGCAACTATATCGTGATGTCTGTGAGGTTTATCCATGGTTTGTGAACAGTTGAGAACATTTTAAACTCGGGGATTAATTTCAAAGTGACAACTAAGTCAAGATTATGTGAGATTTGTATATATAGTACAAACTAAATGACCAGTCTTTTGCATTTCAGAACATGAAGGATCATTAAATGCCTGGTTTGCAAAAAATGAACTTAAAGGGTAATTGACATTTACATAGTAGTGGTTTTGCCTTGTCAAAGGTAGAATATTGAAATTTTCAATATTCCTTATTATGAGAATTTCGTTTTTTAACCAGATATTTTGTATTAGTCATATTTATATATCAGGACTGTACTTATTTTTTAAGCCACCTATTTATTGTTGCAGGACAATTTCAGTAAACAGACTAATTTAATTATGTGTTACATTGTTTTCTAAATCATTATTTCCTTTGGGGAAGTTAGTATTGCAAGAAATAGCTGGTTCTTCAGATTTTCTTTTAGGGCTTTTCATGGCCTAGTGGTCAGCATGTTTAAACTTTTGAGTCCTAAGAGTCATTGTTCACAATCTTTTTCTTTAAAAATCACTACAAACTTTGGGGCTATAGATATGATATAAGAGTGTCTGCCAAATCTCACTATTCATTCAGACATGAGTTGGTGATGGGCTCTGTTCAATAGCTACCTTCCCTTTAGTCTATCATTGCAAAATAAGGGAACATCTTTTGTAGCTTTCTGGGAAAATTCTAAATAAAACAAACCTTATCTAATGTCATTGTTTTCACCTATCCTACATTTCAACTTTGTCAAATTCAGAGAGATGATACTCAGTTGGTTATAATAAAAATAATAATGCATAATCAGATTTTCACATATAAAGACAAAGGCATCATGGTAGCCAGTTACAACAGAAAAATTAAATTAGAAATTACATTTTGTGATTTTTAAGGAATTAAGATTTATAATGTTCTGATATTTTATTTAAATTATTGCAAAAAATGTATTGTTAAAAAGCAAGAAAAATTTTCTTTGGAAGTAGTGAACATCCGCAGAGCAAAATTCTGTTTTGTATGTTGTTGATTTATTAATAGATACAGCTATTTGACAGGTATTTTGAATTTAAAACTTGCTTAAGACAACAACAAAAATCTTGAGAGGAATTTTGAGTGGGACCTACGAGCAGTTGGTGACAAGACAATCTCTTCTCACTTGCTTTCTTTTGTTACAAATTTGGGTTGGATTTTCAACCAGGGATGTCTCAGTGGTGAACTAGAGCCAGAGTAGGTTGAGGGAATGATGTTCAAGGTAATTTGTCAGCTTTTTAAAAATTAGTAAATGTCTGCAAACACTTTTGCTGATAGCAGTGTCTTTGTCCAGAAGTTCTTTAAGCACTTTATATACTACTTTGGGTAGTGTTTCTGACCAGTGGCAGAGATGGCCTATGGTGTAGGTATTTTCTTTGTTGTTGTCAGACTAGCAACTGAAGGATTAGGTTCTCTAGCTTTTTAGGCTTGTGGTTTCATCGGTTACCTGGGTTTGATGGTCAGATGTATAAGCTTCCATTTTAAGCTGGGATTTGAGTATGTTGATCTTCAGTGAGGATTTGGGTTTTGTTTTAAGTTTGGTTTGATCTTCGCGCAAAGCTACACGAAGGCTATCTGCACTGGCTGTCCCTAATTTACCATCTAAAGACTAGAGGGAAGGCAACTAGTCATCACCACCATCTAGGGCTATTCTTTTATTGACTGTCAAATTATAATGCCCAAGGCTGAAAGGGCGAGCATGTTTGGTGGGATGGGGATTCTAACCTGCGACCCTCAAATTGCAAGACAAGCTCCCTAACCACATACATGACAATGCAGAGTCTTAGGGTTTGTTGTTCTGTTTATGGTATCTACTGATGCCTTTATAAGTGATTTTGTATTTGGAAAATCGTTTAACTTTGTTAACCTAAGCAGAATGGTGGAAATTTACATTTCTTGCAGTCGCGTAATGAAAATAAAAATCTTATCTTTATTTTTGAGAAAAAAAAATTGAATAAACAACAAGTTGTGTGAAAGTGATGGTTGAAAGACAAACAAGCGTTCTTCTTTGAAACATGAAAGATCAGTCAAAGTTGTTCCTAATATCACAACGGACATACCTGGAGCCTAAGGATTAGTAAGTGTTATTTCTAGAACCACAACAGTCAAAATCTTTGGAACTTTGAGTCTAATGAATCATGAAAATTCTTCCTAGAATGACAACGAACATTCTCTTCGAAACGTGAAGTCTAAAAAGTCATTAACAGTTCTTCGTAGGACAACAACTCTTGAGAACCTGGAGTATGAAACTTCAGTAAAAGTTTTTTTCACACCCACAATACTTATTGGAAATCTGGAATCTGAAGGGTCAGCAAACGTTTCCCCTAGAATTAAAACTGACACACCCTTGAAAACCTGGAATCTAAAGAATTAGTAAAATAACTACAATAAACTTTTGAATCCCTAAGTCTGATGGATCAACAAACACTCTTTGTATAAGTATAACGGACAAACGGTTAAAGGAGCTGTAAAAGTTTTTCCCAGAACCACAAGTTACTGTAAATCTGGAGCCTCAAGAATTAATAAAGTCCATACAACTATAACGTGCAAACTCTTGGAAACCTGGAGTTTGAAGGATCAGTAAACGTTCTTTCAAGAGCCTTAACATGTGTCATGGTAGTGAAAGAGCAAATTAATGTTTTTTCCTGGGAACTTAACAGATAATTATTTGAGGTCTCATCATAACATTAGCTAGTCACTTTACATAAAATTAACTTTTAGATATAAACCGCTTGTTTTGAATAATAATATTTTGATTTTACCGAATATAGTAGTTTAAGTTAGTCTCATTTTCATATTTGTGTATTAATTTTGTAGATATCGCAAAAATAACACGCAAAGAGTCGTTTAGAGAAAAAGCAGTATAATATTAATGAAACGAAATAATTCTTAATGAGATAAGAAAAATTTATAATAACAAGAGATTAACAAGTTTAAAATGCATTCTGGTTAATTTTTTTTTTAAATAATGACATTAATATAATTTTGATGTAATAGTTTTAACAGTAGCCTTTTTAGGAGTGTCTGTGTTCATGCACTTTACTTGCAATTCAATGGCGTATTAAATAGTGATGAAAGAGGGCTGCCTTTTTTGTATATCACGTTGTACTCGCGTGCTGTATACCTTCACAGTTGAAATATGGGAACTTGAGGATAAGTAAGGTTATTTTATACTGTAACTGAAGCCTGAATTACTATTCTTGTTTTTTGGATGAATATTTTATAAAGAATTTATCCGTCGAATAGTCGAGTGTTGGGCGAAAATTTTCTCATTAGCGATTATCTTCACTGTACAGTGATCGAAGAACGATGTTGTCATTATCAGATATTAGTACAAAATGTATGAAGAAATATGTGAATACAACAAAAGCATAGAACAGGGCACAAGGTACGTAAATCACGTTACAGAGAGATTTAAAGATCTGTTCATCTAATAGCTTTCGGAAAGTGGGGTGATAAAAACAAATCGTAGGGTTTACAAACACTATGAGCAATATCAAAGTTCAAATTGTAAGTCAGTAGAAAGTCAACGGTACAGTTAGATTTTCCATGAATAAATTTATTTTCTTTAGAAATACTAAATAATTTTAAATTGTACTTTAATAATTAAAACTCAACAAAACGTTTCGAAACACGAAGGACTAGAAAGGCTGATTATAAAGCAGTGTAATGTGCTGACCTCTGTACTTACGAAATTCTGTTATGTATATCTAAGAAATTGACTTGAAAAATATAAATACCTAATATCATAATTCTGTTACATAATTGTGGGTTGAAATTCATAATGTGGCTTGATGAAAGAATAAACGTTAAAATTTAGTTATTACAAAAGACCTTGTATAGAGCTCGATGAATAAAAGGTTTAACGTTCTCAGTTAATATTTCCGTTTCATTTCAGCCTGCAACAAATCCAACGGATATATTTTATCTGTGCGTATATTTGTTGATTTTATAAACTTAAGGTAAGCATAAAAACTGTTCTTAGACTAAAAATATGCCTTTACCCGCAAAGTGAAAGCTATGTTTACAAAAGAGAATTTTCCGTCTCATGAAATAATTATGATGAAACTGGGCTTATCTCCATTAAATAGATAAATTGAAAGTTCACAAACTTTTAGCCTTTGTTTTCATGAAAATGACAAATACTTGCTAGCTTCATAGATGCAGCTCCAAAGTTTTTCCTTGTGTCTTTGGTCTACTTAAATGTTGGCTTCGGAAGTAGATGCTCATATTAATGACGGTAATAGTAGGAATCGACAGGGATTCCAAATAATTCACGCGCCGAAAAAACACCCTATCGAATTCCCAAGCAAAAAACCGACCATTCAAAGTATTGGTTATGATATATTATGTGCATATATACCAATAATACACAAAAAAGGTCGCTAACATTTCCGATATAACAATTCAAAAATTTCTAAAACAGCAGTTTTTTCGTCTGCTACCTACCTACCTGATCACGTCAGCGATGCTAGCGTCTAAACGGCTCTGACTTTCGCTACAAGATTTCTCCAGATTACTTGACTGGTATGTGGGTATCCCCTTTTGATATTTCGATAAAATTCACACGCACAGGTATCATATAAACGATAAACAAATCATGCACGAACTTAAATATCTTTTCAACTCAATGGATGGCGCTACGTACAGATGGATAGACACGCGACAGTTTCTAAAGATAAAGTATATAATTTATACAGATATAACATAAAAATTAAATGAAGAAGACTATTAAAAATTATGAATTTTAACATGAATTAAGGATCCTGCTACAAAAAGTAATGAAACAAGAATTAAAACTACAATAACAAATTTATAAAATTTAATCCCTACTTTAGCAGTTTTATATACTTATGTGTAGGCCAAATTAAGGATCATATTTTATAACTTTGTGGTTTTAATTATTTTAAAAGTTATAGCTATCAGGGATATGGATATACTGAAAGTTTATAGATGTTGTGTCCATTTCATGGACATATAGAACTAAACAAATAAATAGGAAAAAAATTAACATTTTAATGGAAAGTAGGAATCGTTGGTTATTTCTAGAATTGCTAAAAGAAGTATCCAAAACAAAATAAATGCTGCAATAAAAAGTACACGCACGATTTTCAGTTCCTACTTTGGTTGTCATCGTGATTTGTATAGCTAAATGAAGCAGTAAGTTTGCCAACCATAGTAGGGACTGAATATCGTTTTCAAATCTATACAACTAGTAGTCTGCGGGTCGCAGGTTCGAATCCCCGTCACACCCTTTCAGCCGTGGGGGCGTTATAATGTTACGGTCAATCCTACTGTTCGTTAGTAAAAGAGTAGCCCAAGAGTTGGCGGTGGGTGGTGATGACTAGCTGCCTTACAGTGATAAAATATGGACGGCTAGCGCAGATAGCCCTCGTGTAGCTTTGCGCGAAATTCAAAACAAAAAGAAACAATTGCAATATTTATTTTGTTTTGGAAAGTTCTTAAAGGAATTCTACGAATAAGCAAGGATCCTTACATTTCATTAAAATTGTAATTTTTTTCTCTATTCATGTACAGTAGATAAGCTGTCGAAAGTTTGTCAATATCGGTGTGATAGAAGATTGGTCTTTAGCAAAGGCTTCTTGCAACTGAACCTGCAATGTGAAGCAATATCACTGTCATCAGACTGAGCACGATGAACAATAAAGTAAGAACATCATTTTTATAAAGAGTGAGTAACCTTCAGTATCAGTCTAATCCGTGCGTTACAGATGTATTATTGTAATATTACATAGTTGAGACAGTATTTCCATCCCAGTTTTCCTCTCTGGTGACGTTCCTTAACATTAGCAGAATAACAGGTAGTCTTTCACTGGGTTTTATTTGGTTGTTAGAAGTAGTATATTATTATGTTTACTTTGATTTCTTACCGTCGGTTACTACTTTTTTGTTTTTTAACGTATAATCTTGAATTCCACAAAATGAAACGTAATGTACTGGAATGATCATTCTAAAGTTTTCACAGTTTTTTATTTTTTTCTATACTTGGAAAACGATATGACATCCGACAAATTTATAGTGGAACAAATTATAGCAATATTTATGTTGTTTAAAAAACAGAAGAAAAGTTAGAAGTGCCAAATTGAATTTATTATAAGGTCAGTAATAGCAAATAGTAGGATATATATATACAGAGGGTTTAGTATATTTTCGTAAAACAATTTCAATATATAAATCAGCAAGCTATGTGACAATCACAGCCAGTGGAACGGAATGTATCAGAACTACATTTTGACAATGGCGTTTCGTTGGCAGTGAGATTCCACCGAAAATTGATCGCTTTTTAGAAGAGTGCGTAATAGTTCTTTCCGACACAAAATCCTTGCACTCAGGTCATAAAAATGTGTTTTAGATTGGAGATTTATAATTTCCGAAACCTGGACATAACAGCCTTACGACAAAACCTTTTTCCTTAGAAACTACGCTACAGTAGCTTAACGGTAAGTCCGAAGGCTTGTAACGTTAAAAAACGGGTTTAGATACTTGTGGTGAGCACGGTACAGATAGCCCATTGTATAGCTTTGCGCTTAACAACAAACAAAACCATCTACGCTGCAGGGTTACTATCTAGGTGCATGGTCGTCAGATAGAGCATGACTGGACGTAGTGACATGGAGTTACCAACGTAATGAGATTCGAAAACCGTTTGAAAATAACGTATTCAACCAGTATGTGTGTGTGTGTTTTTGTATATGTATATACACACACACACATTCTTTTTTTTTTTGCACTTTAGTAGACTTTTTCGCGTAAAAACTAACGATTTTAGACAACAAGTTAAACAGCATTTCAACTTATTAAACAACAATAAAAATTTGTTGTTCATGTGAAACACAGTAAGATATAGTTATAACATGTAACAGGTTTCTAACAACATTGTACAGTAATCTATTGTATCTATGGGAAGAATGCTAAAGTAATGTTATTCGTGAACATTAGAATGTGCTACCAGATGATAACGAACCCCCGAGTGAAGTAGATAACTTGTTAAAATACTTTGCGTTTTTTTACTCTACTAATAAACATTGACAGAAAAATAAAATCCGAACGTTAAACAATTAAAATTCCAGCCGAATTTACAGGATGTATGTATTTTAATGTTTATAGAGATAACAACGAAATGTGTATGTATATAAACGAGAACCCCCAGTAATACTTTTCTTTTACTACAACAATGTTCTGAGGGAAAGCTCGCTATCTGGGGTTTAACTGGAAATTCTTAAAATCTTTTATTTTCTCAAGATTTTGATCTTGATACCCGAGATAAATATGGAACATTAATTTCGAGTGAATACGTGTGTTTTATAGAAGCAGCCCAAGATATGTTGCATGGAAAGAGGAAAAGTATTCAATCACCTTTTACATTACATTAACAATTTCCATGGGAGATTTTATTGTTTCAACCAACACCTAGATATAATATGCGATTATAATAAAGTTCGTAACGACAGCTAGGTTATTAATGACAGTTTGCCATCACCCTCCGCTAGCAACTTGTAGAATACACCTAGCGCAGCGTTTGGTAACTAATCACTTTACACTGCATTCTTTGACTACAGTAACTGTCGCTGCAATCGTTATAAGTCCTAAGTTTTAATTCGTTGTTATATGCCCGGTGTCCGAAATCAGTAGTAATGATGTGTTTTTGTATTACCACTTGAGATGGGAGGGGGGAGGTCGGAATAATGGTCTAAGATAGACTTTGAAAATCATCCCTAAAGAATTAAATACGTCTAAAAAATATTTCAGCATAGTTTTTGTTGTGTACGAAAAACCTTTGATTATCTTTATTCGTAGCCACTTTTCAGGCTCTATTTTTTTTCGGCCTTAAATGCTAGTACTAGTTAATTAGTTAGAAAGAAAATAGACAACTTTGATTAAAGAATATCATACCGAGTGGATATAAACGTAGACCAAGAAACGTATCAACAAATAATACAAACATTTTCAGAATGTCGTCATCTAGTTGTTGTTTCATAACAGTTAAAATACTTCTGGAGAGTACGAAAAGAAGTAGCAGACGGCTATTACATAAGTAAAAACACCAAACATGTAATCGCAATATTTATATATAATTGGTAAGTCTAAAACAGGGATATGATATCAAGATAAACTTTAATCAAGTCAGGATAGCCGTGTAGGTCTAAATGATAAATATGCAATAATCAGTATATATTTAGAATTTGTTTTTAAGTGCAAAGCTGCACATTGGGTAATCCGAGATGTGCCCACCATAGGGATCAAATTCCAAATTCTAATGCTATAATCCGTCAATCTTACTACTGATCCATCGGGGGGGGGGTACTATATTAAAAGAGAATAATGCCCAAGTTTTCAATGATCCATCGGGGGGGGACTATATTAAAAGACAATAATGACAAGGTTTTCGATGATCCATCGGGGGGGACTATATTAAAAGACAATAATGACAAGGTTTTCGATGATCCAGCGGGGGGGGGGCTATATTAAAAGAGAATAATGACAAGGTTTTCGAGTTAGTTGAATGAAAATTAAAGTTGAAGTTGAAAGCAAATTTCATATAATGGAAAAGTTTACTAATATGTCTATTAAAGAGGGTCGAGTTTATGTGTTTTGTTAATAGGGCACATGGAGTCAGCATGTGACAAGCATGTTAAAGAAATTCATTCACACTTGCCTAAGTTTTAGTTGTTAATACAGGGTCGACATATTTTAGACGTCTTACGAAAACTTAATATGTCTTCGCAATGGTGGAGAAAGTTATAGTTTAATTAGGCGTAACTATCGGTAGGATTCGATGACGAGGAACCCACTTTGAGACTAATAATGGCTGGAGACGGCTTGAATGGGTAATGAAGAAAAACTTTAATATAACAGCAAATGTACAACGTTTCGACAAGGTTTTGTCATCCAAAATTACTCTTCATTACCCATTCAAGCCGTCTCCAGCCATTATCGGTAGGATGTTACAACAGTGAACAATTTACAGGTCAGGAATATAAAAATAACATTTGTGGTACTCCAAGACTACTCGAGGACCTAGCAAAGAGCACTCCAAGACTACTCGAGGACCTAGCAAAGAGTACTTCAAGACTACTCGAAGACCTAGCAAAGAGCACTCCAAGACTACTCGAGGACCTAGCAAAGAGTACTTCAAGACTACTCGAGGACCTAGTAAAGAGTACTCCAAGACTACTCGAGGACCTATTAAAGAGTACTTCAAGACAACTCGAGGACCTAGCAAAGAGTACTTCAAGACTACTCGAGGACCTAGTAAAGAGTACTCCAATACTACTCGAGGACCTAGCAAAGAGTACTTCAAGACTACTCGAGGACCTAGTAAAGAGTACTCCAATACTACTCGAGGACCGAGTAAAGAGTACTTCAAGACTACTCGAGGACCTAGTAAAGAGTACTCCAAGACTACTCGAGGACCTAGTAAAGAGTACTCCAAGACTACTCGAGGACCTAGTAAAGAGTACCCCTAGATTACTCGAGGAATTAGTAAAGAGTACTCCATAACTACTCGAGGACCTAGCAAAGAGTACTCCAAGACTACTCGAGGACCTAGCAATAAGTACTCCAATACTACTCGAGGACCTAGCAAAGAGTACTCCAAGACTACTCGAGGACCTAGTAAAGAGTACTTCAAGACTACTCGAGGACCTAGTAAAGAGTACTCCAAGACTACTCGAGGACCTAGTAAAGAGTACTCCAAGACTACTCGAGGACCTAGCAAAGAGTACTTCAAGACTACTCGAGGACCTAGCAAAGAGTACTTCAAGACTACTCGAGGACCTAGTAAAGAGTACTACAATACTA